CTGTCAGGCAGTAAAGACAATCAGTCATCAAACAAAACAGATAAACATAACATGATTAAGTAGGGGTGTCTAGGGCTTAATTAAGGTAGCAGAGCTTGATGCGTTGCTTTTGTTGGAAATTAACGTGCAGAAAATCAGGAATTCTGGAGTTATATCAGCTGTTGTTGATTCTACACTTTTGGGAGGAGGGTTGTGATACTATCAGTTGTCTGTGGCTGCTGTAATAAAGAACTACAAATTGGGTGGCCAAAACAACAGAAAACACAGTTCCAGAGGCCAGATGCTCAAACTCAAAGTGGTGTCAGGGTCTACTCCTTCCGGAGCCTCACAGGGAAAATCTACCCCTAACTGCTCTCCTGGATTCTGGTGGCTCCAGCAATCATTAGTATTTCTTGGTTTGTAACTGGGTCACTTTGGTCTTAGCCTCCATTTTCACTTTGGTACAGTCTGTGTATCTGTGTGTCCTCTCTTTTTTTTTTTTTCCTGTTTGACACATAGATTCTTTAGACATTTATTGTTTACATTTCATGTATTTGGGATTAATCTAGTTATCCTTTATTTCTTGATCAACTCCACTGTGATCATAGAAATATTCTGTATAATTAAAAATGTACAAATCTGAAAACTTTCTTAAGTTGTTGTATGAGGTCACTTTGGGGTAATGCATTTTTTAAGGTTTTTTTATAGTGTGTTTTATGTTATTCAGTTTGAGACTGAATTTTTTTCAGTTTTTTTTATATTAATACCTCTTTCATTAGGAATTGAAACTAAATATCAAAGTTCTCTACTATTTATTTCTCCTCTTAATTCTTTTAATTTTTGATTTATATGTCTTGTAGTGATAGGATAGGGTGAAAATCCTTAAATTTTACTACTTTTGTAGTTTTCAGTGACATTGTACTATGATTTACCTAAATATGATCATCTTTATGTTATCTTTCTGGGACATTTTTGAGCTTCTGGAATATGTGGGATGATATCTTTCATTGATTTTGAAAAGCTACTGGTCTTTTTTTCTTTAACAATTGTTTCTGTTACTCTTTCCTTTCTTTCTAGGATTCTTATATTTATTTATTGCATTTCCTTCAATAATTTTACACAGCATTGTTTTCTGCCCCATTAACTTGTTCTTTTTGTCTCACTGCTTGGGTATTTCATATTTAGCCAATTGGTGTTGTACTGCCCAATCTGCTATTAAAGCAGTAAACTGAGTTTATAATTCTAGATTTTATGTTTTACCTCTAGAATATCTCTTTATCTTCACTTTAATATTCAAAATCTTAGTTAAAATTTGCATTTCATATACCTTATCAATAATTATTTATTTTACATATTTTAAAAAATTTATGTATTTTTATGCCTTTCTTCATTTGCATGCATTGTATGATTTATCCACTCATATTTGGTCCCCAAAGATTTCCCACCACCAGTTCACCTATGCACCATCACCATAGTCCCTTGTGCTCTTTCCACCCCTTTTAAACCATTTCCTTTTCCCCCCACCCCCGAAGAATGTCTCCAGATTATAGTTGTCTGCGGATTTTGATTTTTACTTTGTTAACTACATCAATAATTAATTTAAACTCTCTTTTAATATGAAAGAGAAACTACATACATAGAAGAAATGGTTTAGTGTAAACCTCAAATCTAGTATGATTTTATCTCAAGATGTTTAATAATTACATCCACAGAGAACCTTTTATAAATAAGGTCATAGTCTGTAGTTCTAGCTGGATGTGAATTTAGAACCAGAGTATAGTTGACTATTCTTGGAATCTTTGTTTTCTGTGCATACAAGACATATGATAACAATGTGTACCAATATGGATCAAGTAAAAACTATTTATGCAATGTTCTTAAATTTATCCATTTGGTAATAGTGCCAAGAAATCCCTCAACTGAAATCCACTGAACCATCCCTGACCTTAGCATGGTGCATAGTAAATGCCTAATAAGAGTTATTTCTTTTTTATTCCCTTTAAGAGAGGCATCTGGGAGATAAGAGTTAAAAGAGAAGAACCAAGGCTATCATCCATGTAAAAATCCTCTGACAAGGTCCAGAAGGATTTTTTGATTGTAAGTTGGCTCTAAAGGCTAGTGATTAAAGAACAAACCCTTCTCTTTCCAGAGATGTGAAAATAATGCATTTCTTTGGGGAATAGTTTTCCTAAAAATGTTTCTGGAAATTCAATTCCCCAGATTAATTTCCAGGCACTCATGGTGCATCTCTACTGAAAGAACAAGTCAATGAACTTGAGGCAGGCTCCAATCAGAGTCAAAGAAGGACTGATGGGTTTTAGCTAGAGGATTTCTCAACTTTGACACCACTGAAATGTCAGACCAGATTATTATTTGTGGCAGAGACCACCATGTGTGATTTTAAATGTTTGACATGATCTTTGACCTCTAATCATTAGATGCCATTAGTAGCACTCTCTTTCATGACAATCAAAAATGTCTCCAGATGTTGTCAATATACCCTGTAAAGAGGAGTGGAAATGATGATCTCTGTGAGAACAACTGAATGATAATAATAATAATAGAGGAGTTGTCATTTCTATAGAGCAACTACTGAGAAACAACTTGATCACTTTTTGCCATGCAAGTGGGTAAGAGAGAATGTGGAACATCAACAGTCTTGAAAAACTGTATTGAACAATATTACTATAGGCCACACATTGAGTTAAGCACTAGACGCACATCATCCTATAATAGGAAAGAATTTTAGAAGTCATTCAGCCAGTTTTTTTTTAATGTCTACATTCCTTTACAATAAAAGTATTAGTTGGGAACTTAAATTGAAAAATTACCATATGGTCACCATTGGTATTTCATTAACTCAATGCTAAAAGCTGCTCCTGTGAGCAAAGTGTTCTCTCCCCTCACATATACGTATAACCAGAAAGGTTCAATAACATGCTCAAAGTCATAAGGCTAGTGGCCAGCTGAGTGGGAGTTCAAATCTTGCACATAATCCAGAGTGAATTTTCTTAATCATATGAAAAAATCTCACACACCATATTTCTTCTATTTGAAATGACCTTCCCTTATTTATCTACATACAAAATGACCCACCTGATTTTCATCACACAGCAAAATTCATCCCTTCGGCAAAGCATTTTCTGACCCCTTTTTCCATGGGCAGAGTTGGGCACTGGACCCTCTGGTAATCCCCAGAATATACATATCTTTTTTATTTACTCATATATATATTTATTGAATTTTTTACACTGTCTTTGGTGATTTACTAATTTACTTGTACCCTTTATCAAAATCTAAGTTATTTGAAGGCAGCATTAAGAGTCTTTTGTAGTACTATTACATATATAAATATTTGAATAATATACTTAATACCTCACAAAACTCTCCATTCCATTTGGGAGTAGATTTGTCTTTATTAAAAGAACTGTAAATAACCTGTTTGACTTTCATTCTACAGGTAAGATGAAATATTTAGTTCTTCCCTCTCCTTATTGCATTAAAATTTGAGAACAACTTTTACCTGTTCAGAGAAGCCTCCATTAACCACATCATCCTAAAGTATTTGTCCTAGTAAGTTCTTATAAAATCACTTTGATTATATTTTCTGTTATAAAGGATATGCTTTCCTTCTTATCTTTATCACAAAATTAAGAAATTTGTCTATTTTTTCCACCACCATGTTCTTTGGTAATTGGTCCTTCAATGAATTTCAATTAATTTTCATTGAATGAATGAATCATTAATTAACACTTAGGGGCAGGATAATTAATGACTTTGATGTGATGGGAAATAAGAATGGGTAGAAATTTAAGAACTTACATTCCAACTTTAGGGTGGCATTGACATTGGAACAACAAAGAACCAGAGACAGAGAGAAGTAGGTAATTGGCAGTTAGATGGGAAAAACATTTTTATCAATTTTCATGATTAGAGGGAGTCAACCCATAGAAACTGAAAAATATCCAACTTATGTGTCATTGATGATTTGGACACCAGAGGAAGTATGGTAGACACATATCAAACACTGACTTTTCCTGGTCTCTTTTTGGGCATATGTTAAAGCAAATCTCTATCTAAAGTCTCACCCTTCTGGTATGAAAAGAATGGGTTTTGTATACTTCTCCATATACTTCTCTGAACTTCCTCACTGATGATAATAACAAATACCACTGTGGACCAGAATTTCCTAACGTTGGAGGTGATGTGTGTGAACAATCTTCCAGGACAATTTAAATTGTCCTCGGAGATGAGATTGAGGGTAAGAAGTTCAAGTGTAAGTACTTTTAGTTAGAGAGAGACATTCCTCCTGAATCTCTTAGTCATCTTTTCTGACCATTGTGTTCATTACAGTACTCAATACACATTAAGTATAATATTCTCCCTCCCATCCTATGAAATCAAGCCTCAAAATGATAGTTGACTTTATGGACAATTTGCCATCTACCACCTCAGAATATTTTGTCCCAAACTTTGTCACTCTTTATAGTGTATATATTTTGGGTCCACATTTTGAATGCTATCTCCCCTCAGATGCTTCCCAGATTTTGACCTTCCCTTTTCTCACCCAAGATTTGGAAGCAGACCTTTCTGCATGCTTTTGAATTTAATTTTATGCAACTTCATAATTCCATATTAATGTTGGCAATGTCCCTCTATTTCATATTTTCATCTCTTTAAAATTCCACCTCCATTTTGACTTTAGGACACCTGGGATGGGATTTTTTTCTGGTATTCCAAAGGTAAAGGTAAAGATTAGTGCTTGCCTGAACATAAGACTTTTACAAAGAAGTGGCAAACACAGAGAATCATTTTGTTATTCTTCATATCCTGGCAAGAGCAGCATAATGAATTAATTATCACACTTTTTCCTACTAAGATTGAGCATTTCAACATCCTCAAAGACTCTAGGTAGCTACTATCAAACAATTGCAATTGGCATGTAAGATGAAACTGCCACCTACAAAGACTTCTCGTTAAATATCTTGTTCTTTCTTCAGATGAATGAAGCTTTATGGAGCATGGGTCAAGCTAATCAGTCCATGATGTCAGACTTCACTCTCATGGGGCTCTTTAGCTACTCAAAACCACATCTGGTCCTATTCTCCATTGTGGTCACCATATTCACCATGGGCCTTTTGGGCAATGCCACCCTGCTCTTCTTGATTCACACAGACCCCAGGCTCCACACACCCATGTACTTTCTGCTTAGTCAACTCTCCCTATTGGATGTTGGCTTTCCATTGGTCACCATTCCCAAGATGGCAGTCAACTTCATGCAGGGAGATAGTTCTATCTCCTTTGGAGGTTGTGGAGCTCAGATGTTCTTTCTGATGTTGATGGGTGTCTCTGAAGGTGTTCTGCTATCCCTCATGTCTTACGATCGCTATGTTGCAGTGTGCCACCCCTTGCATTATCCCATACTCATGAGACACCAAGTGTGCCTGCTCATGGTGGCCATCTCCTGGTTTTCAGGTGTGCTTGTGGCCTCCATACAGACCTCTATCATCCTGCACTTCCCATACTGTGACTCACGCGCTGTGGAACACTTCTTTTGTGAACTGCCTGCTCTGCTGAAGCTCACATGTGCAGCTACCTCTGCCTATGAGTTGGCACTGTCCATCTCGGGGGTGCTGATTTTGCTGCTGCCCCTCTCGCTCATCTTCACCTCATACAGCCATGTTTTGAGAGCCATTCTCCATATGAACTCAATTGAAGCTCGACACAAAGCCTTTGCCACGTGCTCCTCACACATCATAGTAGTGGGACTCTTTTATGGGGCAGCTGTATTCATGTATATGGTTCCAGGCTCCTACCATAGTCCACAGCAGGACAATGTAGTTTCCCTCTTCTATAGTCTTGTTACTCCCACACTCAACCCCCTCATCTATAGTCTGAGAAATCGAGAAGTTCAAGTGGCTTTGGCCAAGGTCCTTACCAGAGTTGTTTTCAGATCGAAGAGATGACTTCATGTAGACATTGAATTAGTTGTCTTGGGAAACTTTCATACCTGGGACCTATCTTTAATTTGCAGACTACATGGTTCAAAGCTTACTCTGACCAGCTCCCTTCCTCCTTCTTGTCTTGCTTTTCTCTTATGGATTTGTGGAATACAAATGTACTGGGGTTCTCAGTTAAACAAGAAGAGGGACTGGGTTTCTACCCAGATCTTGAACAGAATGAAATACCACAAGAATGCCAAACCAACCGCAGAGATGGAGATCCAACTTGTGGATATTTTAGTCACCTGTTAATGACCTGCCTCATATCACTCTTATAAATTTCTGCACAGTTAGCAATGAAGTTGACCTATAACTCCTGATATCATAGTTTCAGGGGCTGGCACTCTGACTGTAAATGTCGTGTGTCCCTATCCCTGATGGTTTTCAGCAGTATCTTTGTTTGAATTGTAATTTAAGTTTATGCAGAAGTGGAATACTGTCATTCAAGATGACTAACTGGTAGTTCAAGAACATGCTACTTTTGTGGTATCAATTATTATAGGGCAAAGATAGAAAATGATGAAATCCTCTTTGAATAAATGTCAATGCCATCTTAGACTGAGTATTCTCATTTTAAAGCTTGCATTGTCATCACCAATCCACACAACTTTATGATCACTCAGTTAAGGATTTTCAGGGAAATAATGTACCTCTATTCTTTATCTTTGTGGAAATAATAAAGTATTTTTGGATTAATAATCAGGGTCATTGGAAGATAGAATTAACATGTTATCCTAAGCATTAAAAAAAATCTATCTCATTGTCATAAGGATTTTGAATGTCATGTACTAATCTGTGTATAGGGATATTGTGTGTGGAGGAAAAGGCTTATTGAATGGGGACTTTTCTGTATTTGAATTATGTAATCAGGCCTACACTCAAGTCCAACCCCTATTTTAAGAGTTGGGTGCAATCAGTCTATGTACATACATACAGGCATGTACTCTATTACAGTATGCAATAGAATACTGAATAGTAGAATTATAGGATAGCATCTCTAATTTCCTATACTATACTATATTGTCAGGAATGACCAATATTGAAATTTATGTGCTCAATAAACTTATTTGCAAAGTCACCCGCATTTTCTATTATTACAGAATACATTCTCAGCAACCTTATAAGTACATATGAATATTCTCTTGTTTACATATGAAGACACTTAGCAAAGAGTACCCACATGACTTGTCCAAGGTCACTCAACTATGAAATATGGAGCTGACATTCAAATCTAAGCTCTCTGAATCCATATTCAAATGTATTGCAGTGTTTCCAACAGGCAAATGATGTTGATGATTTACAAGAGAAGTAAAATAAATGGATGGAGGAATAGCATTGGAGAAAAATTTTCTGACTCCAGCTGACCGTGGTCTGCCTTGGGAAGGTCACTTTGAGCCCAGAGGTCAATATATCAAGGCTAAAGGCACACTAGGGTGCCTTTATTATGGTTTTAATACTGTAAACACGGAGCAGATGAGTGGAGGTAAGGAGGACTGTTTCATGCAGTTTTACAAACCAGGAAGATTAAGCTAGAAGGAACTTGAGTCCTTTCTACTGCTCTTTTCTTTAATTTCTGACTGTTATTCCCAGAGCCAATAAAATTTCCCAGAAGTCAAAAGAAACATTTGGACTTATAAAACTAGACTGGAGGGTCCTCCCTGGTGGTGCAGCAGGTTGAAGCACAGCACTAAGAAGCTAAAGCCACTTGAGCATGAGTTCGATTCCCACCCCAGAGGGGGCCCACATGGTGCTGCAGACCTCTCCTGACCCTTCTGCTCCTCCCCTTAGCAGTGTACTCCATTGATCTGCCTGTTCTGCTCCCCACTCTGTCTCCGGTGAATCCTCTCACCGCCCTTGCACCTCTGGCCTGTACCTCAGCTCTGTATGCATAAATAAGTAAATCTTTAAAAAAAAAAGTATGTATTTTACCCCAAACTTAACACACTTTAAAAAATATCCAAGTAAGTCCTCCCTGGTGGTGCAGTGGGTTAGGGCACAGCACTGCAAGCTAGCTTCAGCAGCTAGCTTCAGTGCGAGTTTGATCTCTAGCATTAGAGGTGATCCACATGGCGCGGCAAACCTCTCCTGTCCGCCCACTGCTCCCCTCAGCAGTGTACTTCGTCAATCTGCCTGTTCTGCTCCCCGCTCTGTCGCTGGTGAATCCTCTCACCTGCACCTTTAGCCTGTACTTCAGTTCTGTATGCATAAATCTTAAAAAAATATTCAAGTAGTGACTAAATGTACTTTCCTTTTCTCTGTTAAGGCAGACTAGATTCATTATACATTCTAGGCATACACTGTAGCCTGGAACCATACAGTGGTGTGGGCTGAAATATTGTGGTGTCTGAAATATTGTGGTGTGGGCCAGGTACTGAAACATTCTATGTGATGGATGACACAGAGGGAATATAGAAAAAGTAAGGTTCTATGGAACTGGCTGATTTTGGCTTAGACATTTCATGAACATTGCCAGGATTGGAAGACTTTGGGCCATGTTAGAGCAACAAATTCCAGGCCCATTCAGTTTCTTCCTCTGCCTTCATCTACATCTGACCTGGTTGGATCTCCCATCTCTTCTTCTTCCTTCTCACACACAGCTGACACCTCTATAAGATAAACTTCTCCATGATACAGTGTACATATTTATGGTTATAACAGATAATACCAAATTATCCTCCAAGGATTACCATGCATGGAGGAGAGTTTTCATTTTTACAAGTCCACAGTAACAGTCGAAGATTTCTGTAGTCTTCTCCATTAGATAGTATGCATAGACAAAAATAAAAATATAGATTTGAAAAAGACAAATATAGATTTGAATAACATTATAGCCAACTTGAGCTGGTTGATATTTACAGAACACTATGCCAACAACTGCAAAATGCACAACTTTTGCAAGTTTACATGAATATTCACTAAAATAGCTCACGTGATGGTCATAAAACAAGTCTCAATAAATTTCAAGGGATTGAAACATTGAATATGTTCTATAATAGTGTAGTGGAATCAAAATAGAAATTAAATAAAATTAGAAAAATACCAGATGGTTTCACTCATAGTAGGAATGCAAGGGATCAGGGGAAAAAAGAGAGAGAGAGAAACAAATATAATAGAGTAAAAATGAAAACAATGAACAACTATAAACAGAGACATTTTATCAGGGTAGAAGGGGGAATGGGATCAGAACTGGTGTGGGAAAAGTGCACTGGACTGTGATGATGGCACATGGGTGAATTGGTGGTGGGAAGCCCACGGGGATTACAATTGAGATGGAAAAATACACAAAATGAAAAATGATGTAAAAAAATTAAAAATATATATTAAAAAAAGAAAAACTTCTAAAAACCAAATATCTAGTTTAAAATTTAAAGGTGAAAGACTGAATTCTTTTGCCTTAAGATTAGGAAGAGGGAAAAAATGTCTGTTTTTATTTACACTTAACATTTAACCAGAGGTTCTAGCTAGTGCAATAGAATAAGGTTGGGGAAGGACTGCGGGAGGACAGGCCCCTTGAGTCACTGCTTCCTTTAGGGATACCAAGGATAAGCATCTGGAGGGAACAGTCATCTCTGGAGTGGAGCTGGGGACGTGCGGACCTGTGTCCTAGCAAAGAGCAGAGCCAGAATCCTTCGGAAAGAGTAGGGAAGACTGAACAACTCAAAGTCAGGAATGGTGCCAGTGTACCAGGAGGAATATTGGCCCTTACCCCGCCAGGTCCCCAGGCTCTCTCAGGGTCTTGGCTCTGAAAGGAGAGTGATAACTCTCTGAGAGCATAGCCTGTCTACCATTTCAACAAAGAACACCTAGGAAGCCAGGGACTGCCTTTGGCAGTGGTAGAGTCACTTGACTGACCCCTTCATAGTATCAGGTTTGTCTGTGGACACCCAGCCCACACCACTGTATGCCCGCAACCTATGCCTACAGTTATAGTGAGTCTAGTTTGCCTTAGCAGAGGCTTTTGTGCACAGCTTGGGGAGGCAGCCAAAGAACTGGAATCACTATTTCTGCCACCTTCTTTGCTCCACAGTCCAGGACTACTGTGTATATGGCCTTTTTGGCAAAAAACTTCTAGACATGGACTTCAGAAAGACTGAACACATATACAAACCCTCCAGCCTGTGTCTAGAAGGAACCATAAAGAACTCAGTCTGCCCAGTCGGCTTTTCTGTGCCCATCCTGGGGAGGCAACCGAAGTGTAGACTTGGAACCTGTGCATTTCTGGGAGCTGTTTCATTGCAGAGCTGGGGGCGGGGGAGAATGCAGCAAAAATGCAGAAGATGAAGAAAAATATAATAACTTGAGGTATATTATTATTGAACAGAAATCAGAAGTTGATTTAAGCAAGAAAATAAGGGAGTTGCAGGATGCTAAAATACCAATTGAGGAGATAAAAATCCCCTGCTATCGAAGAAGACTGGATTAGTGACCTTGAAGATCACAGTGCACAAAGGACCAGGTGTAAGAAGAAAAAGAAAAACACTATTTTATTAGTGTACTCTAAGACTGGTCTGACTCCATTAGGAAAGGCACGACAGTGGGTTTCAGAGAAGGAGAAGAGAAAGAAAGAGTAGAGAATTTATTTAAAGAGAAAATAGGGGATGCCTGGACTAGGAAAGATGGCAGCAGAGCCAAGTTTCTGCTTAGATCTGAGAATAAACCTAAAGGTTCAGATAAGCACTGAATCTGGAGGAACCCCTGGCAGTGAGCGAAACTAGAGTTCCTCATGATAGCCAAGGACAGATGCTGACAAAAGGGACAGGAGGAATTTTATCTTCAGAGAACAAAGGGTGGGTGGAAACCATGGTTCCTATCTTGCAAGGCAGAACTAAGTGTTCAAGATTTATACATAGGAGTGCTTGGGGAGCCAAGCAGATGGGTGGGGGGCAGAAAGGAAAATGGAGCCCACCTCACCCAGTTCCCTCAGGAGCCAGCGGATGTGGGAAGACAGGACCTAGCCCGTAGGG